TCCGGCTCGGGTCATGATCCCAGGGTCCTGGGATCGAGCCCCGCATCAGGCTCTCTGCTCAGCAGGGAGCCTGCTTCCCCTTCTCTCTCTCTGTCTGCCTCTCTGCCTACTTGTGATCTCTGTCTGTCAAATAAATAAATAAAATCTTTAAAAAAAAAAAAAAAGAAGAGGGCTCTCAAGGTAGGACTATTGGCTGTACTGCTGTTTAGCAATGGGCCTCGGGCAGGTTACTAAACCACACAGACAGTTTCCTCAGCTATAACACGTAACAGTATGTGCCTCAAAGGGTTGAGTGTAGTGAAGATGAAGTACAGAGAAATGGCGCTGTCTGGTATACAGGAAGTGCTTGGGAAAGGCCAGCTACCGTCAGTTCCGCTGTTAATACGACACAGTCTCCGAACAGCAGGATTTGCTCAGAGAACTATAAGCCGAGCCCAAGAACGGAGAGTGACAGGAGGATGAGCCCAGACAGGAAGGCGGAAGGCCAAACTTTGTCTTCATGGGAGCTGGGATTTTACTCTGAAAGCCACGGGGAGTCCCCAGCTAACTCTCCGGAATTATCTCAGTGGAATGACCTGCTCAGATCTGCTTTCGGAGAGACGGGCAATAGGGCAGATTCTGAAGCTCACGCTCTTTCCATCGTTCCTCCCCACCCTGCCGCCGCCCCAGGTCCCGGGGATCTGCATGGCCTCAGTGAGGAGTCTCCCTGGGGGGTGGGGTGGGGAAGGGAGAGTGGCGGAATGGACTTACCGCCCGTGGCAAGGAAGCCCACCTTCCCCAGGAAGAAGGTGGCGTCCACATGGCGCAGGGACTCCTCCACGTTCCGGAGGCTGGTGCGAGAAGACAGAGGACAGACCTTACCACCGAGAAGGCAGAAGGCCTTCCTCATCCCAGAGGGGCCGGAGAAGATGTAAGAGGAAACACTACTAGGGGAATATTTTGTCTTTCACTTTGTTTAAGGACATTTCATTACAAAGTGACTCAAGCCTGTAGAGCAATCCAACAGTAAATATGGATGTGATCAGTAAAGAGTAAGTGTCCCTCTCCAGCACCACCCTTCCGTCTCAACAGCCCAGGGGTTACTGCTGCCCACAGTTTGGGGTATAATGTCATTTGCATATGAATTTCCCATATGCAAATACAGGCAGTGATATGTATAAGCATGTAGTTGGGTTTGGTTGGGTTCAACCTGTGACATTTTTTGGAACGACCACCCCGTATCACAATCTATTTTCTAGGTGATAGACGCTTACGTGGTCTCCAGTTTCTCATCATTACAAAGAATGCTGCATGAACATTCTTCCCCATGTGTTCTTACACATGTAGACAAATGTTTCTGTAGGGAAGATGCTAGATGCAGAGTGGCTGGGTCACAATATGTGTCTTTCTAAAATGTACCTAGGTTGGGGGCTCCTGGGTGGCTCAGTCGGTTGAGAATCTGACTCTGTCTGACTCTTGCTTTTGGCTCAGATCATGATCTCAGGGCCCTGGGATAGAGCCATGTTGGGCTCCATGGGACTGAGTATGAAGCCTGCTTGAGATTCTCCCTCTGACCACCCCCACTTTTGCTCACACTCTCTCTCTCTCTCTCTCTCTCTCAAAAAAAAAAAAAGTACCTAGGTATTGCAAAATTGCTTTCCAATAAAGTGACAATATTTATAGTCATATCAAGTATATGAAAACAATCTTAGGAAATCTAGGAAAAGGGCACTTTGACCCGCTGGGCCAAGGGTTTCATTCATTGGTGTCCAAGGAGGGATAAAGAAATCTGTTGTCTTGGGAGCCTGCTTCCCTCTCTCTCTCTCTGCCTGCCTCTCTGTCTACTTGTGATCTCTCTCTGTCAAATAAATAAATAAAATATTAAAAAAAAAAAAAAAAAAAAGAAATCTGTTGTCTCCTGGCCAAAAAGCCATCTTGGTCAGGAGAACCAAGCCAACGTTTCAGCCTGAATGAGCAAGGCCTGAAGCAAACAGTAAGGATGGCTCTTTGCCCCAACGTGTGACTGTAGAGCAGAACCTCCCTGGAGACAGGTCAGCGTCCCTTTGGAACAGAGATCTCACCCAAAGAGCAGATCTGCTGAGTCAGGACCTCTGGCAATCACGGCCGATCTCAGCCCTTTCTCTGCACCACCATGGGCTCTAGCCACTGCTCACATGTTCCCCCTGGCCGGGCAGCCCGTCTGGATTTGATCCTGCTGCTGGGTGTTTGTGTTTGGTAGCTCTATGTCCCTGGTCCTAGTGTTTCCACCCCAGCCTTCCCTTAACCCCCACCTCATCACTGGGTGTGTGTTTCAGATTCTGTGCTAGAGGTGCACCCCGCCTACCCTCAGTCGGCCATCCCCCAAGAGGGAGAGCAGACCTTCTACCATATTCCCCAGGTTTATTGCGGTCCTGTCCCCCAGGGCAGCCAGCACCACAGGGAGGCCAGGCCAGGTGCCCAGCATCACCACCATTCACGCTCCCCTGGCTACAGCCTCCCACTACCCTGGGCTCCTGACCCTGGACTGGCCTTCACAGTCCTGTACACACACCTTGTGCTCCTCCTACCCATTACATTAACCTTCTTCATCTGGAACCTTCTGCTGACTCCCATTTTCACCAGGCTAATTTGTCCTGGTCACCTCCAGCAGAAAGTCTACCCTGCCCTGAGTCCCGAGTCAGAGGTCTTGTTGGGAGTCTCATAGCCCAACGCATTCTTCCTTTACAGGACCGATGCCAGATACTGCAATCATCTGTTCAGGAGTCTGGCTTCCTCCCCCAGTGGGCTGGGAACATCTTGGGGTGGGGGGTCTGCTTCATTCATGTCTGGGTCTGCCATCAGGGATACAGAGAAGGTTGCTGAAAGCATTAGATAAATGACCGATGTTGCCGCTGGAGTTTATTAGTGTCTTTATTTTTTATTTTTAAAATTTTGAGAGAGAGAGAGCAAGTGCATGGTGGGGAGGAGCAGAGGGAGAAGGACAGAGTATCTCAGGCAGACCCACGTGGAGCACAATCCCAGGACCCTGAGATCATGACCTGAGCCAAAATCAAGAGTCCGATGCTTGAACTGACTGAGCCACGCAGGTGCCCCTTAATCAGTGTCTTTAAAATATCATTCACTTGCCATTGGCTCCGCATCCTCACCCTCTGGGCTAACCCCAGGCAGCCTCTCCTTGTGTCCCCTGCTTCCCATCACAAGTGAGGTCACCATCCCAGTACACCTCTAAGCCAGGTCTACCTGAGCCCTGACGCCCCCACTCTCTGGCTCTCACCTGTATTTGCTGTGAAGGTTGACCACGAACATGATCAGGTCAATTCGGGGCCGATTCACGTTGGAGGGCAGAGGGAGGGACCTTGCCAGGTGGCTGAAAAATGAGAAACTGCAGGATAAAGATATACATACCCACATCACACGGACCTTTCGCATGCTGCCTGCTCTGGGGCAAGAGGCTGTCGAGGGCTCCTCACCTATTCCCCCGAGGCTCTTGTGGACTAGACTCCTCAGGTGAGCATAGCGGCAGGGCAGAGCTGGTCCCATCTAGACTGACCCCTACTGCCAGAAGGTAGCTCTGTCTGGTAACCACCTTGGCAAGAGGGAGTCGGGGTTGAAGATGGCACTGGGCTAGCCAGCTACACTGCATGCTGGGAGGGAGATCAGGCTCAGAAGAGGGGTGTTAGACTGTGTGGATTAGGGGTTAAGGCTGAACCTCTCTGGAGGGCAATGGAAGTGGGCTCAAATCTCGGGCTGCCCGTGACCAGCTATGTGACCTTGGGTAAGTCACCCTTATCACTCGTCTGAGCTTGTTCCCTCATCAGATTCTTTCAAGTGCTGGAAGGGGGTTGATTCTCCCAGTGAGGGGTGTTTCTGTTTCCCATGGAGGTACACCCAGTGGACTGGGATCCTTCTCCGTCAACATGAGCCCCTGGAGCTTGTCCAGCAGGGACAATGACACCCACATACATCCAGTCACTTGATTCCCACCAGCAGCTGTTTCCACTCTCCACCAGTTAAAAAAAGAAAAACAAGATACTATTTCTTTAGTCAACTTTTCTCGAAATCTGGGGGGTATCTGAACTTTCCTCTGTGCCAAGTACTGCTCAAGCCACTGGGGATTCAGTAGGGAAAAAAGTCAAAGTCCCTGACCTCAAGGGGCCGACCTAGGGGTCCGTGGGGCTGGCAGCCCCGAAACGAGAAAACGAACCGGTGCACAAAGACATCTCCTGTGGTCACAAGAGCTGCAGGAAAACAGGAGTGCGTGACAGAGAGCGATGGAGGGTCCCTTGGCTGGGGACGGATCGCGCCTCTGGGCCTGGCCCCACCTGCGCCCGCCTCTCTGGCTCCCGGCTCGCGCTCCTGGGCCCACCGTTCAGGCCACCGCAGAGCCATCGGACACCCCCGGCCTCGGCTACTTACACCTTCAGCTCCGAGGCGCAGTCCTCCTTGAGCATCGAGTCGGCCAGCTGCTGCAGAAGAGCATCTTCCGTGCCCACCAGCTGCCGGGCAGAGAAGGCGGCCTCCTGAGACCGGGCGCCGCAGACCCGCCGGGGGCCCGGGGAAGCAGGCCACACACCGAACGCCGCGCGGCTGCCGGATTCCCGCTCTCGCGCGCACGGCGCCGTTTACCGAGACAGGGCTCGGCCGGGTACGGGTGGAGGGCCCAGTGCTGGCCGCACAGCAGTCCTTCCCTCCCAGAACCCTCCCCCGGACCGCGGGACCCAGCGACCCCGGGAACCACTTCGCCGGCTCTGAGAGGAACTCAGCCTCCCGGGACCCTCCCTAGTCTCCCCGCCCAGCAGCTCCACCAATCAGAAACGGGGAAAGAGCCCGCCGCGCTCGTATTGGCGGGGGCGTCCTTCAGCCTCAGCGGGCGACCACTCCCATTGGTTCGGAGTGTGGCTGTCCCGCCCACCACACCCCAGCCTGAAAGGCTCGCTCCAGACCCTGACAGAGCGCCCAGGAGCTGGCAGCTGAGACGCAGCCAAGGAGGGAAGGAGGGAAGGCGGGCGGGGGAAGCGGAGCAGCTGACGCCTACCAAGATGGTGGCCGTGTTCAGGCCAGGCTGCTTGTCCAGTGGCCGCAACACCGACATCCCAGTCACGCAAAGAACCTCCGCTCTTGCCCCGCGCGCGGATCTTTCAAACCGCTGAGGTCCGCCCTTAAGAGAGACCGAGGGGCACGTGACCCTCATCTGGGCGGGGCTTCGCGGGGAGGGGCGGAGTCCTTTTAAAGGAACCCTGACCACCTTTTTTTTTTTTTTAATATTTTATTTATTTATTTGACAGAGAGAGAGAGAGATCACAAGTAGTCAGAGAGGCAGACAGAGAGAAAGGGGGGAAGCAGGCTCCCTGCTGAGCAGAGAGCCCCATGCGGGGCTCGATCCCAGGACCCTGAGATCATGACCTGAGCCGAAGGCAGAGGCTTAACCCACTGAAACACCCAGGCGCCCCCTGACCTCCTTTTTTGAGCGGGGAGCTCCAGCTCTGGCCTCAGGCTCTTAAAGTACAGTCCCTGGACAGGCCTTTTATTTCCCGCCTCGGAGGAAGAAGGCATTCAGTGTTAAGTTTTCGTTCGCTCATGCTCATTCATCATACTCTTGATTCCTTCCAAGCCTGCCCCTCCCACGTCTTCCCTGGTTCAGCTCAGAACAAAACCTTGAGGTCACTCTTGGCTCCTCTTTTCGCATCCCACATCCAATCAGTAAGCAAGCTTGTGGGTTTCAGACTTAAAATGCATCCAGAAGCTGACCACTTCTCACCACCTCCACCGCCACCACCAGGACAAGCTATCGTCATCTCTCACCGCGGACTCGTGTAACAACTTTCTTATTGGGTCCCCGCTTCCTCCACAGGGGGGCTCTTCTCCATGCAGCAATCAGAGCCATCTTTTTTTTTTTTTTTTTTTTTAAGATTTTATTTATTTATTTATTTGACAGACAGAGATCACAAGTAAGTAGAGAGACCGGCAGAGATAGAGAGGGGGAAGCATGCTCCCAGCTGAGCGGAGAGCTGGATAGGGGGGCTTGATCCCAGGACCCTGAGATCATGACCTGAGCTGAAGGCAGAGGCTTAACCCACTGAGCCACCCAAGGGCCCATAAATTTTTATTTTTAAATTAATTTTTATTTTTCAAATTTTTAAAATTAAAATTCAAAATTTTAAAAAAAGATTATTTATTTGCGAGAGAGAGAGAGAGCGTGTGTAGGGGGAGAGGCAGAGGGAGAGGGAGAAGCAGACCCAGTGCTGAGCATGGAGCCTGCTGCATGACTCTGATTCCAGGACCCTGGGATTATGAGCCCAAGGTGGACTGAGCCACCCAGATGCCCCTATTTTTTTAATTTTTAATTTTATTTTATTAGATTTTATTTCTTTGAGAGAGAGGGAGAGCACAAAGTGAGAGAGAGAGAGAAGCAGACTTCCCACTGAGGAGGGAGCCCAATGTGGGTCTCGATCCAAGGACCCTGGGATCATGACCTGAGCCAAAGGCAGATGCCCAACAGACTGACCCACCCAGGTGCCCCTGTTTGTTTGTTTTTTTAATTTTTAAGAAGAGCATGAGTAGGGGGAGAGGCAGGGGGTGAAGGAGATTCTCAGCTGAGACTGACATGGAACTTGGTCCCAGGGTCCTGAGATCATGACCTGAGCTGAAGGCGGATGCTTAATTGACTGAGCCACCCAGGTGCTCCTAATTTTTATTTTTTAATTAAAAAAATACTTAGAGGGGCCTTTCTTAACAATCCCTATCTAAAGTAGCAAGTCTTGGGGAGGCTGGCTGGCTCAGCTGGTAGAACTTGCCACTCTTGATCTTGGGGTTGTGAGTTCAAGCCCCACCTTGGGAGTAGAGTGTACTTAAATTAATAATAAATCATCAAAAAAAAAAAAAAACCACCTCCATTACCTTAAAAAAAAAAAAAAAAGCAAATCTCCCTGTCTTCTTTTTCTGCTCTATTTTTCTCAACAGCACTCATCTCCACTTCGCATGTGGTCAAGAACTGCACAGCCTCTGAGATTGTACCGTATTTACAAACGAATAAACTGTTACTGTTTATTATTGTTTAGTTATAGTGTGTTACTGTTTCATGGATGAAACTCCTGGGTAAGAGACAAAGGATTTTGTCTAGTTTGTTTCCTATTACTCATGGTATAAACAGTAGCAGGTGTGTTTGTGTCACTACTCCATGTCCCCCAAGCCCTGTGAAGGACCCACCATGGACCCTTATACACTTCATGCATAGGACAGCAGTATAGAAGGGGACTGGACATTCACTCCTTTTATAGCAAGCAGCATACAGTTCTTTGTCCGGGGCATGGGGGAGATGTCACCTCCTCCTTCAAGGTTGCTTGCTGCAAACACAACCCTGAGAAATCAATCGTCTGGGTAAAGAGCTTTCAGGGCCTTGCTCCCTTGGCATTCCCAGCAGGAGCCCGCAGCGAAGTGCCCGACGCTGGCCCATTGCTTCTCCCAACAGTTACATGATTACTTGTGCGTTGTCTTTCCAGCTACAGCAAAAGACACAGGAGAGCGGAGACTTTGTCATTTTGCCTGTCTGTGCCTTTAAAAAGTGCCTGGCCCCATGGGAGTTGCTCCAATATTATTTGTTGAATGAATGGATGGATTTACATCCATTGATTAATTCTCAGCGGGGGTTCTTTCATCATTTCCTAGGGTAGACCCTTCACCCCACCTTGAGAATACAGATGAGTCGGGCATTGTCTATCAGCTCTGGAGTTGGGAGAACCAGACCTTGATCGCACAGGTGTGCTCCCTGCTGTGGTGTCTGGGAGAGCAGAGCCATACTCCCTGGCTAACCTACATCCTTCTCACTGCAGGCGAAACTGTATCTTGCTTAGAAAGAGCTGGAAGTATATGGCTTCATGGAGTTCCTGCCCCAGTTCCTGATTGCTGCTACATGGGGTGTGGAAGGGACTCCCCAAAAGTCCTATGGTAATGAGTACTCTGAACATTAAGTAAGGTGAGCTAGGGGATGGAGATGGACAGGAAGAAGCTACTTTGGGTCAGGGGAGGCTTCTGTCAGCAAGTCATGTTTGAGCAGATGCCTGAATTCAGCGAGAGAGGAGCCAGTTAAGGATATGGACGGGGCTTCAGGCAGGAGTAGCAGTAGATGCTAAGAACCCAGAGCGGGGAGCATCCCTGATGAGGGAGGCCAGGGGCTGAAGCAGATGGAGTCAGGAGACAGTGGGGAGAGGGGAGGCTGCAGAGGTCACTGAGGCCCTCGGAGTGCCCCAGAGAGACCCTGGCCCCGCTAGCACTTGCTAGAAGGGGCTGAGCTGAGACCCATTCAATCAGCAGGTGCTGAGTGCCTGCCTCGGGCCAGGTTTGCTGCTGCTCGCTAGTGACCCAGGCACCAGAGATACCATCCCTGCTCGGTGGCGGTTGGACCGATTACAACAGCCAAAGCAGCCCAGTTGGTGAGAGCCACCCCAGGGAGCCTCGGGGGCCCAGATGCATGTAGGGTCCCTGGGGAGCCACCGCTACACTTGCTGCGGAGGTAACGGTTGACTGAGATGTGAAAGTGAGCTGGGGCTTGTCGCCTGGTTAGTGCAGTAGAAAGGAGCTGTGTGTGGGATCCATACAGCGATGAAGCGAGGGGATGGGCCAGAAGGCCAGACCCAGGCCTGGAGGTTCTAATATCAAGAACACATGGAACTGGCAGGGCCATCAGACACCCTCTGGGACAGTGTTTTTCAAATTGGCTTCTGTGGAGCTCTGGGGAGATGCCTCAGGGATATGCTATAAGGAGCAAGGGGAAGCTGCGTGGGTAGGGCCCAGAAACCCCATCCCATTATTTAACAGAAGCAGCTCAGGCTTTATTCTCTGTTTTATATTGAGCTTCCCATTATGTTTTTTTTTTCTTAAGATTTTATTTATTTATTTGACAGAGATCACAAGTAGGCAGAGAGGCAGGCAGAGGAAGAGAGAGGAGGAAGCAGGCTCCCTGCTGAGCAGAGAGCCTGATGAGGGTCTCGATTCCACATGATCCCACGATCCTGGGATCATGACCTGAGCCGAAGGCAGAGGCTTTAAACCACTGAGCCACCCAGGAGCCCCCAATATGTTTGTGTGTGAATAAAGAATCATATGGCTAAAACAATATCTGAAGGCCATTGATCACATTTTTTACGGCTTTATCATAGTATAATTGACATAGGATAAGCTACACCTAGTTAGTCTATGGTTTGGTAAGTTTGGTTTTTTTTTAAGATTTATTTTTTTATTTGACACGGAGAAAGCACAGTAGGGGAAGCAGCAGGCAGAGGGAGAGGGAGAAGCAGACTTCCCACTGAGCAGGGAGCCGTACACAGGGCTTGACCCCAGGACCCTGGGATCATGACCTGAGCCGAAGGCAGACGCTTAACGACTGAGCCACCCAGGCGTCCCTGTGGTTTGATAAGTATTGACCAGTGTGTCCTCCTAGGAAGCCACTATCACCATCAGTGTAATGCACATGTCCGTTACCTCCGAAAATTTCTCCATACCCCTCCCCCAACTCCTCTCTGTCCTCCCACTCCAGACTGTTGAGAAGCACTGAGGAGTCTATGCTCACAATAGTCCCATACTGGAAACACCCCAAATGTCCTTCGGTGGTCAGCAGATAAACCAGTTGTGGTATACTGACCAATGTAGCAACATCAGTTGAGAACTAAAATGATTGTGTTGAGCGACAGACGCCAGACACAAAAGTACATAATGTGTGAGTCCGTTTACATTAAATACAAATACAGGAAAACCTAATTTACAGTGATAGATATCAGTGGGTACCTTTGGGAAGGGGGTATTGACTGGCACCAGGCAGGAGGGAACTGTCTGGGGAGATGGAAATCTCCTAGACATTGATCAAAGCTGTATACAGAGGTAAACACTCACCACTTAAGATTTGCATTTTTCTAAATGAGTACTCAGTCTCATTACAATTCCCCCTGTGAATGCAAACTCATTCCCCTTGCCATATGCATCTGGAGAGGACCCACCACCCTTAAAGGGGTCCAGATGGTCCCAGAGCTGGCAGGGTGTCTGTGGGGTGGGGGACCCTGGGTCCTGAAGGCATCTCCCCCAATGACCTTTCCCACCTGCCTATCCTCAGATTTCTGGGAATGGACTCCCTGAGGAAGTGTTTCCTTAAAACTGCTTTCCTGCCCTATAGG